AAGAAAATCCTTGCGATCGAAGAGAAGCCAGAGTTGGGACACATTGTTGTGAAAGAAGTGTTGGAAATGCCGTCGCGTACTCTCCCTATAGTTTCTTCGTGTGAATTCGTGCCACAAATGCCTATCCGTTCGGCGATCCCACAGATTATTGGCAAATATCGTGGCCTCGAGTGTCTCGAAAGTGTCTTTCGATCCGAAGTCAACGTCGGCACAGATCTGATCAAATGGTTATGCGAAGAGAGCGGCCTCCGTATCCGTTCCCTAAACATCGTGTGCACCGATCGAAAGAGCCATATGTTTATTAACTCAACGGATGAGCCGTCTGTTTATCGACTCCAGACGTGTCCCGAGTTGAGAGAGTTTCACATCACAGCTCCCAATGGTATTATGATCTGCGAGTATTTGGTCTGCCATCTGCTTAAGTGTTGGCCAAGACTTGTGTCGTTCAAATTGGACGCACCGAACCCCGACGTATATCACGGCCACTATTTTAACAATATAAACGCCGGCATCGAAACGATTAGCACTTCGGGTGATCTGTTGAACGCGACGGCAATCTCACGATTAGGTCAAATAGGAGTGAATCAATTGCGAGAACTGACAATCACTCGTTTTGATCCGTCATCTATGCCTGTTATCGGCCACTACTTACAGTGTGTTCAAGTATTATCTGTGGATCTTTGCTCTGGAGTGGCCGACAACGACCAGGAGTTCGCTTTGGAACCACTATTCGCGTCGATATCGAGTCTGAAAAACCTAGAAGTGCTGACTATGATGTCGTCCCACAACTGCGCGGCCATTGACTACAGGGTTATCGAAGAGCTCGAACGGTGTCCTCAACTAAAATCATTGACTCTAATCCGAGGATTACTCGCTGAAGACTGTGTGGAAGCAGTGAAGAAGTCTACCCCAAATCTGGTCAAACTTTGCCTCATTAGGTGCCTCTTTTGGTCTGAAGACATAATGGCGTGTTTGGCATCAATTGAAGACATGAGTCAGTTGTCGGAGTTGTCACTGAAGCGCAACAAAGAAGTGACGGACACTGCGTTTGAATGGCTGATCACAAACTGCCAGCAAATCAATCGCATCGATGTCTCGCAAGCGAATCAGATCACCGCCGATGCAGTCTGTCATTGTGTAGAGGTTTGTGGACAACAGCCCAACAGATCCCTTGCAGTTGTGTTCAGTCACACACTGCAGACATCAGTGGATGAACTCAACTTAAATTTTCCACCGAATTTGAGTGTCGTTTATATGTAGAAAGATTCAGACTTTCAAGTGTCTAATGTATTGAAGTATTAAAAAGTTTTAAACTAAATGACAAAATCATATCCTATTAAAAAGTATTGAAATAAACTTTTATTTCTTTCAAAAATGTAAATTCAATTCAATTGCAATAGTATTGAGCCTTTGAGACAATTGTGGATCAGTTATGTGTCAATGAATTTGTGCTAACAATCAGTTTATTTCAATGATATGTTCGTGTATTCAATGCAAGCAATCATTCAATTCATTCACTTTTCTAACAATTTTTCCAAACTTTTTCTTTTCTTCGAAAACTTCTGAATTGTATTCCTTTCTCAACACTAGTCCTCAATATTGCTGTAAAGCTATGCTCTCATTGAGTCCTCGCCTCTGCCCTAAACTCGTGGCACAACTCCAGCGATAGTCTAGTCTTTGAACAACCCGTCGATCCTATGATCGCAATCAGCGGTACATCTCTCGCACTCATTGTCTTCAATGTCTTCATTGTATTCATCACTGAATCGCTTCTCGAAGACAAGCGTCTAATGAATTGCATTTCATATCAACAAAAATCACATGTTTTTATGTTTTGGTTTTTCAAATTGCATAACATTTGGGCCTATTTTACACGCAATGAAAACACATTATAAACACTCACTTAATGGCTATAAAAGGGCTCAAAAGTACAGTTTGTCACTAAAATAGCGGCATTCAGTGTACAGTCAAACCCGCATATAATTACAAATTCAGTTAAATATAATTAAAGTCTAAAATATGAAAACAAAATGAATATTTAATTTCATTATAGCTATAATTAAATCAATTAATCGCTAATCAAATGAAAACACAATAAACTAAACGCAAAGAGGAGTCAATTGTCTTATACTGAGAGCGCATTCATTGGACAACAAATGTTTGAATTTGAGTGAAAATAAGTGTCAATTAGTTGTGACTTTTGTACCAATAATTGTGCGCCTCTTGTGATCACCAAACGGTTCCGAACCAACACAATCAGCGGCACATCTCTTGCACTCATTGTCTTCAATGTCTTCATTGTATTCATCACTGAATCGCTTCTCGAAGACAAGCGTCTAATGAATTGCATTTCATATCAACAAAAATCACATGTTTTTATGTTTTGGTTTTCAAATTGCATAACATTTGCCTCACATTTGGCCCTATTTTACACGCAATGAAAACACATTACTGTATAAACACTCACTTAATGGCTATAAAAGGGCCCAAAAGTACAGTTTATCACTAAAATAAAGGCATTCAGTGTACAGTCAAACCCGCATATAATTACAAATTTAGTTAATTATAATTAAAGTATAAAATATGAAAACAAAATGAATACTTAATTTTATTAGAGCTATAATTAAATCAATTAATCGCTAATCAAATGAAAACACAATAAACTAAACGCAAAGAGGAGTCAATTGTGTTATACTGAGAGCGCATTCATTGGACAACAAATGTTTGAATTTGAGTGAAAATAAGTGTCAATTAGTTGTGACTTTTGTACCAATAATTGTGCGCCTCTTGTGATCACCAAACGGTTCCGAACCAACTCTGGACACATTGACGGAGACGAGCAGTGAAATGATTGTATCGATTTTGGAGACAATCAATGAGTTCGAGCCCTTCGGACGGCTTCTCATGCCTTCACATCCAAAACAATACGGATTATTGCCTTTGAATCACATCTCCTTCTGGACCAGCGCTGAGACCGATCCCAGCCGTGACCTCTTCAGGGCACTCAAGGCCGTCACACTCGACCACAACAGCGCCGTAATGCCAACCAATTGATCCCATTATCACCTATTGTTGACACTTATGTTCATTTGATAAACAGAGAGAAAACTGGCGCTTAAGAGAGAGCCCCGAAGGAGAAGAGGAGCTCTACTTCAGCGACAAAGTGGTCGTCTGGAGCCGAAGCGATGGCAACCAATTGTCTCACCTGATCAAGACGTTTACCATCGAGAACCAGATCTGCGATGCCATTTGGTGTGACTTCACCGACGAGTTGACCAAAAATATTGTTCAATCGGTTTGTATTTTGAACACCGTTTCGCTCGAGATATTCACCACAACTGGCGATCACTTCCCAATCGCTCTTCAATTTCAAGTATTGAAACGCTTTTCAAACGATAATTCATTTTATCATTTAATAAATTATTTCAATCTTAAGGTAAATAAAGTATTTTCAACAAAATTTGGACTTTTGTTGGAAAGAAAGCCATTGAACACCGAAGAGAACGACAAGTTCTTGCCGTTGATATTTAGCTTAAGTCATCCGCTCAAAGAGATCGCACCCGTCATTATGAGCCGATCGGCGGTTAAGGCACAGCAAATCGGTTACATCACAGTTGAGGCCGACTTAGAGTTAGTGGCGGTTATCGACGAGTTTTCGCTACTCGTCTTCTACTACAAGACTACTGGCGTTCACGTCATATATTCGCTGCGAGAGGCCAACGAGGAAGAGGTGAAATGGGTTACCAACTCTTGTAATAGCACTTCACACGATTGCTTCTCATCCGAATCCCACTTCATTGAGTCGCCATTCCTTTCGTCGAGCAAACAGTCCAGTTATCAGACAAATGGCTTCGCGTCCAACTCCTCGGCCTCACCCTTCAGAAGTCGTAGTCATAGCGCTTCCAAACCAGGTTTCTCTTCCACGTTGGGTCTGTCCTCAACGCCCAGCGCTTTGAATCCGTCCTTAAATAATATCACTCGAAGTCTGACGACATCGACGTCGCCATCAGTTCTCTCTCCATTGCGAAGCAGTAGAATAGCCGTATCGCCCGCCTCTCCATCCCTGCGCCCATTCGGCACAACACCCAATCAGACGCCGTCACTAATTGATCCGCACATGAGTCGCATAAAAGAGCAGTACATGAGTCCGCGTCTAACCCCGCAATCAGCGACACCACTAAAGAACCGAAATTTCGATTTCCTGACCGACGATATCTCGGAACCGATAATACCTGAGCACTCACTCGACCACATCTGGAGTGAAGCGCAATCCTCTATCACTGAAAAGGCGTCCAAAGTGTTTATATCGACTGATCTGATGGGACAGTCGTATATCTGTCTACTGATTAGCCAAACACAGAGTCTGAAACTCATTCGACTCGATCGCAGTAATGACGGAAAGAAACTCATCTTCTGTTCAACGAATATCATTAGTGCCAAAGACGCCGAACCCATCGCCGCCCACAACATGATAGTAACCGTCGACTTAAACAACAATTTGGTTTTGTTTAGCGGTTTATACAAGACTAGTATTATTCACTTGCCGTCCACTCTGTGCACGGCTTTCACTAATTCACTACTGCTGTCGCCCTCATCGACGCTCTCCAGCAGATCTCTATCATATCAGTCGCCGTCATATAAGCGCTCATCACTTCAGGCGTCGAGTCGGCCCAACAGTGCGACCGGAGTTTTTAATACATTTCTTTCGGAATCTAAAATCCTTTCGCCAGTTATTCCCGAATCGGATATCGATAACAGTTCTTTCGTCTCATCACTAAATCATTACCCAATTATTGGCAAAATCAATGCTGTGAGGGATGCCGTCAAAGATCGGATCACTGTTCAGAGCGTGGACTCAACGCTGTATAGGTTCGCTTTGCCGCCATTTAGTTCATCATATATAGTGTCCCAGTGTTTGAATGCTCTGAAGAGTGTGTTGCCAAAGGACTCGAGTATGCAATTAATGACCAAATGGTATGGCTTTAGGAACGCTCCCAACTCTGATGAGTTGACCACCATTTCTGAAGTGAATTTATTTAAGTCATGTCTTCTGTCACTAATTGGTTATGACGTCGAAAGTCTTCATTTGAATCAAAACTCACATTCTTTGAATCAATCGCCGGAAGTAATTAAGAAAATGAAACTCAATAGAGAAGAGGGAAGCGATGAGGACTGGCATTGGCTTAACTCTCAAGCCGGTGATGAGCCCGACATTATTGGCTCGAATAACAGGTCCATAAATCCGTCCACACTTTTCCCATACATGCCATCCATTCTCTATTCACTGCATTTGGTTTACGAAGACTTTAAACTTTTGGAAATCAATTGGGATTTATGTCCAATGATTGTTGACATCCTATACCTGTTCGCAGTGGACCTCAAACTCAATGACTATCAAATGCATTACATTAAAGATTTTCCGGATAAATGTCACGCTATTAGTTACGAGTCGCGGATCAGCGACGAAGACATGAAAATCATTGCCAAAAACATTCCCCAATACTTCTCCGATTCGTGTCCATCGATAAACTCGACCATTAATTCTCTGTTAGAATGCAATCAAATTAATTACAAATTGTTTCCATACATTGCGAACACAACGAAGAATATCTATAATTTTATATTACTTTTTGCGAATCTGAGGCAAAACGAACTCATAAACGAACCGCAAGTTCTTCACTCAATCAACGGATCGAAAGTGGATTCAGATATAAATCGTTATGATATTAAGTCGAGTAATGTTTTCGCAAAAACTATAGTTCTTATGGACTTATTGGGCATCAAAGAAGAGCATTTAAAACAGTTCCCGCCCGGACTGGCCATCCCTTTATGGGACTCTATTTTTTATTGTCGTAATAATCCATCGAATGATTGGAATCGTTCGTGTTTTAAACTTATTGGTCGACCGGATCTGTTGGCTCTTCAGCCGCCATACAAGAAGGCCATCAATTATTCGGCGACTAAACTGAAAACTGACTCTTCGGAACCGGACGACGACGGCATCTCATATCTGGACTACGATGTCATCAAACTCTTGTTTCCCGACGACCAGCGCATCACAGAAGCCTATCATATGCTTATGTCGTCAAAACCGGTCAAAATAGCGATCCAACAGAAACCCGGAGTTTCCGATCACGACTTCATCGAAGAACAAGAGCGCCATTTGTATACGATTTGTATCAGAACTATGGCTCTGCCGTTAGGCCGGGGAATGTTGTCTCTGCGGTCATACACGCCAGTAGTGGCCGAAACTTTTCCGATACCGAAGCTTAATTTGGTCGGAAGGGTTCCGCCCAGAAATAACACAATCGATTTGTCGCACATCGAAGTGCCGCAGAATATGAACACTTGGCCACTGTTTCACAACGGGGTCGCCGCCGGACTTAGAATATCGTCCAACGCGTCGGGTATTATAGACTCGTCTTGGATTGTGTACAACCGGCCGAAGAGCAGTTCGGCGCTGACCAACACTGTGCTGAGCAGTGACGCCCAGCACGAACACGCGGGCTTTCTGTTAGCCCTCGGCCTCAATGGTCACTTGGCCTGTCTCTCGACAATGAGTATTCACGACTACTTGTGTAAAGGCAATGAGTTGACACGAGTTGCCGTACTATTGGGTTTGGCGGCCGCCAAAAGAGGCACAATGGATGTGTCGGCGGTGAAAGTGCTGAGCATTCACGTGGAGGCACTTCTGCCCCCAACGAGTACCGAATTGGATGTGCCGCCCATTGTTCAAGTGGCCGCTGTTCTCGGTATAGGACTTTTATATCAGAGCAGTGGTCAGCACCACATCGCAGAAGTAATGCTGGGAGAGATCGGACGACCGCCCGGACCCGAAATGGAGCACTACATCGATCGGGAGTCGTACGCGTTGGCCGCCGGTCTGGCCTTTGGTCTCGTGACTCTCGGAAAGGGAAACAATATGATTGGTTTGGTCTCATCGGCCGAAGGTATGTCAATGGCTGACCAGTTGTGCCACTATATGCTGGGCGGCCATAAGAGGCCGCTGACAGCCCTTCAACGCGAGAAATACAAGACTCCCAGCTATCAGATAAGGGAAGGCGACTGTATTAACGCAGACGTGACGAGTCCGGGCGCCACTCTTGCGCTCGGAATGATGTTCTTCGACACCAATAACGAAGCGGTCGCCCAATGGTTCACAGTTCCCGACACTCAACACCTGTTGGAAATGGTTAGACCGGACTTTATACTATTGCGGACCATATGTAAGGGTTTGATACTGTGGTCGTCGATACGGCCGTCAAAGGATTGGGTGGAATCGCATATGCCTTCCATCGTATCGGACAATGCATTTCAAAGAAGCGCCAACGAAATGAACGACCGGTTGGACTACGAGACTATGAGTCAGGCCTACTGTAATATAGTGAGCGGCGCCTGTTTCGCATTGGCCCTCCGGTACGCGGGTTCGGCCAATCGGAAGGCATTCAAAACCGTAATGAATTACATGCAAAAATTTATAACACTGTCGACCAAAAGCAATTTGGCAGAACAGGCCGGACGGAGTACTATCGAGTCGTGTCTCAACGTACTCGTGGTGTCTCTGGCCATCATAATGACCGGAACCGGTGATATAGAAGTGCTTCGCATTTGCCGATACTTGCGATCCCGTCTCAATCAGGCGTACGTATTGTACGGCTCGCATATGGCTATACACATGGCTATGGGACTGTTGTTTTTGGCCGGTTGTCGGTCTACGCTATGCTCGTCGCCCGAAGCGGTGGCCGCTCTCATAATAGCGTTTTTCCCCAAATTTCCGATTCATAGTAACGACAATCGCTACCATTTGCAAGCGTTCAGACATTTGTATGTATTGGCGACCGAACCGCGACTCGTTATACCGCGCGATATCGACACCGGAAAAGCCGTTTACGTGAACCTGCATTGCGTGGTCGCCAACCAGAGCGCCAGCTGTGAGATCATGAAACTGAGAGCTCCGTGTTTTCTCTCCGAACTCAATCTCCTCGAAGAGGTGGTCGTCGACGACGAGAGGTATTGGAGGATATCGTTTGAAAAGGACAAGAATTGGCAGAATCTTAAGTATGGAGAAAAATTGTGCATATATTTGAATAATCAATGATTTGTTGTCTTAACGTTAACTTTGTCTATTCAGACGTTTCTTACAACGAGACGGTGTTTTATATGTGAAACAAAAAACTGGTTGTTTGCCATACAGTGAGGACCCGAAGGGCTTTAAAAGTCTTTACGCGCAAAGCGTTATGAAGGATGCGGTCAAAGGTTGGGCTCATAAGGTATGCATTGAATAATTAATTCTGTGTGTAAATCATATAATGAATTTTGAACACACTTTAAGGTCAATACGACGACTGAGTTCTCAAACGACAGAATCGTAATGACATTTTCAAAGTATTTGCTCTCAAACCCGTCGGATATCGAGTTGGAGTCAGAGAT